CCCCCCCCCCCCCCAACCCACACTGCTCAAGCAGGAATCCCATCCCAGCCTTATGGACCCTAGGCATGTGGTATGCTAGCTAATGCCAAGAGGTCTGTGTGTGTCTCCAATTCCACTGAGACAGGCAGACAGAACAGTGACTGCTTAGAGCTTTTTGGAACTAATCAACAGGTCAGCTGGTAAGCTGTTTAAGAAGAGCTTGAACTAATGGAGAGAGGCTATTGTTTTGCTGATGTGGTGATATAAACACTGTTATCAGCTTTTGGCTGGTTTGCTTGCCTGTAGATTGAAAAACTCTGTATTATCAACAGAGGCATGCCCTGCATACCTCCCCTTGCCCCTTGAGAGTGCTAGCAGGGGTCTGGGGTCTGGCAACACTCCTGGCCCTTGAGCAGCCAGCAGGGAAAAGCCTGGGATGGTGCAGGCAGACCTTCCTGATCAGAGGTCCTGATGGGGCCTGGCCATTTCCCCCCCCCCCCCCCCCATCTTAGCACTGTAGAAGAGAAGGGAGGGCTGTTCTAGTGCACCCCACTCCCCAGCTTCTAGCCTGAGCCACTGCAGGCATGTGCCTGAATTTTCTCAGTCCAGAGAGAATCTGTATGGTTACAAATTGGTTCAGCCTAGCCAGGTTAAACTAACCTGCACACATTGAATCAATTCAGGCTCAGGCTTTTTCAATGTCTGTCCGTAGCTCAGGTGTTTAGTAATGGTGATCACATAATCTATAGCTATGATATCATTGTATGGCAGTTTCTCAATAGCAGTAACTCTGCACAAGAGTAAGGGGTGGTTCATTCAATTTATTCATGTCTTTGGAGTGTTGCATCCTTTCATAGTGGCAAGAATTCTTGTGGATGATATCTTTTTAATGGACCAACCACATGGTTGGGATAGGCTTTTGGGGCATTTATAGATGTGCTCTGGGAGGTGGGGTGGGAGAAAATGGGGCATTTTAATTAGCACAGCTCTGAAAGCAGTGTTAACTAAAGCACCTGGAGCAAATGAGCTTTAGTTTAAAGTACACCACTGCCATTTTTCAGCGTGGGGACACTGATGCATGTGATGCTGGAGTCTGCTGGAGCGGCAATTATAGCACATTGGAGCAGCCATGTATAGGAGCCCCTGGGTATCATATTATCTTTCTTCAGGCCTCTGGTGGAGGAGAGGATGCCTCAGAGTTAAGTAGCAGATGGAGCAAAAGCTTATGTAAAACTCCATATGTAAGAAAAACAAGATATAGGAGAAATGATCATGTAATGAATAGGCAGGAGATGCAGTAAAAAACTGATAATGGAAGAACAAGATTTGTTTAGGAGGGTTCAGAGGTTAACTAATATCAGACAGATTATAATGGCCCATTTTGAAGTCATTACCTGTGTTAAGTTTCTGGTACTTTAATGTCCAGTAAGCTAATTAATTTATGTTCCCATGTTTGTCTTATAAAGGTATTGAGTTGCTTTTCTTTGAGGACAAGATCTGTGAGGGCAGACAGGGAGTGTTTCTCTTCCCTCATCACGCCTGAAAAAATGTTCTCAAACCTAGTGTCTGGTTTTTGTTTGTTTGTTTTGGTTTTTTGTTTGCTTTGTTTTTTTAGTGATCATTCATTCTGGTGCACAGTTGTTTACTTGCGTTTTGTCTGGTTTCACCCACATAGTTGTAATGGGGGCACTTGGTGCACCAGGTGAGGTGTGTCACTTTCTGGGATACGTGTACTATCCATGTATTCTGATGGTTTTCTTGTTGGCGGATGTTGACTTGTGGCAGTAGAAATGTGTTGACAGGTCAAATCACCTAATTTAATTTGGTGACAGATCACCTAATATTTGTTACTGATTTAATAAGTTTCTCCCCCTACAGTGTTCTTTGAAAGTGTGAAATCAGAACTCAGGAATGGATCCTCGGAATACTCTGATATATCTGATTCGGAAGAATCTGAGCCTGATTGCACTACCCAGGTAAAAGCTAGAGAAGGTCATGACAGTTCATCAAATGAGAATTGAAGCTGTTTTGTTTTATTTTTTTTAATTGTTCATAATCAATTTGGACAAATATTAAAAAAAAAAAACCTGCTTACCTAATTCTGCTGCCTGCCTGATTCTCCTATCCATTCTAATGGAATGGCGAGATAAAATTGTTTTGAGCAATGTCTGTCTGTTCTCAAAAGCCTTTGAAAGTTTGTTCACATAGGAATTGTGTATATGGTAAAAAGGACCATAAGTGCATCATGGGCTCTAATAAGGAAAGTAGGTAACAGCTGGCAGTGTTTGCTTGGAATGCACTTGGGACAAGGTCTTGCAAAGATAGGTTTGAGTGAATTGGGCTGACTCATTGAGGCAGGTCTTTTGTTCAGATGGGATAACAAAGGGCAGGAGATGGATGTGAGTTGCAGTGGATCTGGGGTATAGTTTTGAGCAGTCTCAGGTTAAGAACTCTAGAATGTAGTATGGATGGGGAAAGATTTGAGCTTAGCTACTTTTTTTTTTATAACACAGCCAAGTATGAGGAATGGGATTTAGTTTTAGTATTAGCAGTATATAAATGGAAGTAGGTTGGGAAAAATATTTGTATTCCTTTGGTTTCCTTAAGCTTGAGTACCCAGTTCCTATTCAGCTAAATGGGCATTGGTGCCTAAATACCTTTTTTGAGGCTCTTGTGTAGTATACATGTTCTTTCAAGAAAATGCATTTATGCTGAACACATTCCAGTGCACTGAGTGATACCTGTAATCAGTAGTATAAATTCAGCATGCATTCAATTGTTTTCTGCCATTATGGAATCAAGCAAGGGATATTGTTTAATGTTAGAAGTGTTGTAGGCTATGGATATACACATTTATTGTAGGGTAAAAGGAACAGGGACTTACTACATGTCACCTGCTCTGCAGCAGCTGCCTAACCACATGATCTTTCAGCATGGTAAGTGGAATCTACACTGTAGTATTCTAGCCCATAATGTGTTAGTTACTGCCTTGTGATTTCCATTTTGCCGTGAGGCAACAGCAAGCACGTGGGCAGTTACCACAGTAAAGTACAATACAGGTAAGGTGAAATGAATATCAAGTGATGGATGATTTGATAAAGGTGAGCTGGATATAGTTTAAAGGTCAGTTTCCCTTTTAAAAAATATTTGAGGCTTAAACAGCCTCCCCTCCCAAATAACAATTTTTATTTGGGGTTTTTTTCCTAGGGACTTTGGGTCTTGGCTATATTTTCCTGAAACTTGGTTTCAGACTTCCTTGCTGAATTTTATTAAATCTGAGCTACAAGATCTCTATTACTGTGGTCATGTTATAGAACTTACATGCACTTTTTATTTATGAAAACTGGATCAATTCAAAGATTTAAAACTTCTGAACATAGATTAGAATACAGTCACTTTAAGATCCATGACAACCAGTCTGTGTACTATTTTCCCTTGTTCTAGCAAAAAGATTCCTCTGCAGAGGACTCAGCAAGCTCAGGTGATGAAGAGAAACAGGAGGTGACATCAAATTTCAAGGAGGAATATAAAATAACAAGGGACCTCTGTCAAACTACTCAGAAGCCATTTAGAAATGAAACTCCAAGTAAAAGGTAAGTAAAGTGATGCAGGGAGGCTTATAAATTTGATCTGAACTTTTCAAAGTAAAATTTTCATAATTTTTTTAACACGAAAGTAAAATTGATAAATAGATTTTAGTAAAACTTAAAATTTCCTTTTTCACTGTCTTACCTATTTTTTGCCTTAGGGAATGTCCTACCTCGACAAGTACAGAGGAAGAAGCTATTCAGGGCATGCTTTCTATGGCAGGATTGCACTATACCACATGTTTACCAAGTCATACGCAAAGCACAGACTGCACAGATAAAAGAACCTCTCTTCAGGAACACAAAAGCTACCCCAGAAGTAGACATAAGGACAGGCAGCCATCCCAGAGTCATAAAACAATAGAATGTGGTAGGTACTTATTAACCATCACTGCTACTCTTCATTGTTTTGCTAGGGCTAAGATTTTCAAAAATAAATGCTTAAAGTTAAATTCCTAAATAAGTCTAGACTACTTCTGAAAAGTCAGTGGGATATAACAGTGCTCAGAACTTCGGAAAACTGGGAGCCTAGTTTCCATTAGGCCTAAGCATTCACTTTAAAAGTTTCATCAGCCTTTTTACAAGAGTCACACTGGTGTGGATGAATGAACTAAAAGCTATAATCCCCTCTGGGGGGTGGAGGGGGGTGAGCTAAATGCAATAGTTCATATGATCTCCATGGTTCTGCTTTCATGGTGCGTCTCACTAGATATTCTTAGAATTCTCAATTGGCTTGATGGCTTTTAAGTGTTCTCTCTAAAAGGCACATATGGCATTTTCCTGAAGTCTAGATGTAAAGGCCATGCAGCTATTGGCAGCTTTCATATACTCAAGGGATGAGCAGTTGGTGAACCCTGGAAAGTGCTATATCTGAATCAGCTGACAAAGTAAAACTCTACCTCTGAAACGGAGAGGAAAATTCAGAATTTATTGCAAGAACAGGCATTCATTTTGTCCTCCACAGTATTTTGATCGTTGTAGAAGAAAACTTTGGAGAAGGAGAAAGTACTTCAGACTTTGATTATTAGGAAGCAGATTCAGAGGACATCTCTGTATCCCCATATTCCACATTATAGACAAAGATCAATACATGACTAAATCCAGGTCTTGTCCAGAGCTGCTGTACCCCTGGAATGGCATCAATAATTGTGTCTTTAAGAATGAATTATCCTGGAGAAAATGTGTCTTTGAGCTAGAAAGAAATATGTAATGGAATTGAAATGGTCTATAGAAACAGAGGTTTTGTGGGGGTTTTGTTTGTTTTGTTTTTTAATCTCAAAAATAGAATTTAGGATAGAAGCATAACATTGTGTACAGATTGGAACTGGAAATGCTCATTGCTTTTGTGGTTCAACAGTGCCTCCAGGTGGATGTGGAAGAATCTTTTGTGGGTCCTGGAAGTTGCATTCCTAAACAATTGTATCAAAGTCTTTGGGCATCAGCAAAGTCCTTTTAACATCATTAGACTTAAATAACCTGTGTTTATTCTGCACAAAATCACTCCATGTTTATAGTAATTGGTTTCTCTCTTGCAAATCCCGACCGTCAAATTTGTTGACTTCTACAGGGATCATCACAGAATTCTTGGAGGATCTCAGCAGTAGGTCTGCAAGGAAAAGGAATCTACAGCATCCTTTCTTCAGTTATCTGTTTACAAAGACAAGTTATATTAATTCAGTTCCTTCAAGCGTAAACATTATTGATAAACAACAAAAAATTGTAGCCAGCAGGTTCTATGATTTGCCTGGCTGTGTAGGTAGGGGGAAAGAGAGAATCCACTTCCCAAGGAGGTAATCAAAGGCTATGCCTACATTGAGACTGGTTTCAGCAGAAACAAAGTTCTAAGTGTTGTCTTTTAAGACTCCTTGGGATGCTCATCTTGCCTTGATTCTTACTGCTACAGAACTTTATTCTTTTCATTCATCTTTGGGTATCAGCCAGTCTGAAAAAACAAAGTAATTCCAAAGTAGTCTCATTACTTTTATTTGTTAGGCAAAACCACTACTTTGTAGAAGAATTTGTACAGAAAGAACTTATTTTGGTCACAAGCTTGGGAGCTGATATTGGTTAAAATGGTTCAGGCATAATAATTCTCTCAGGGCTGTCAAAAAAAACCCCAACAGACTGACTAGAGTTCAAGGCATTTTGATTAAATCCGGAGGAGTTTAAAGAGGAAGGCATCCAGGGAATTACAGAAAACTATGGTGACACGATTTCTCAATGAGGAAAGAAGTCATATTGCTTAATTTTAAAAAAGCAATCCATTTTCTAGCATGGAAAGAGATTTCTTTTCTGGAAAAGCCTTCACATTTAAGGAAAAGGAAATGGCAGCACAGCCTGACTGACATGTACAGATTGGCTAATCAGACAGGAAGAACTGTGTGGCTAAAACTCCTAAGATGATTTGCCAAGTATGAGTGCAATTAATATAATACATTCAAAAAATGTTACTTCTCTACACAATAGGAAAGTTCAGTATCGTTTCAAGCAATAAAATCTGATGAGTGAGGCCACAGGTGTTCTCAGAAATGAGAAGGTAACCTACCATATAGTTTGTTTGTTTTTTTTTCCCCACCTGTCTTTTAGCCAAAGTTAGAAATAATGTCAGAGTGGAAGAGGTGTCAGTCCTCTAAGTAAAATTGCACTGGCCAAGAGGGCCGTGGCTTGCCTGATGCAAATTTTGTTCTTCTCCCATCCCACACTTGACTTTTTTCATAGCTAAACCCTGTCAGCTATTCAAACCTCAGTTGAACTGTGGTCCTAGTGTAGCCTGGGACATGAGGTGTTTTTGTTTTTTGTTTTTTAACAAAAGCCAGCAGTGTTAGTTTTCACTCTCTTGCACAGAAATGTTGATTGTTATCCTCGGGGTAGGGCCTCTTTCCTTTCTTGTACATGTACAGCACAGCAGCAGTTAAGTGAGACAAAACAAGAAGCTAGTGTTGAATGTGAGTTAGAAAAATAAAAAGCTTGCACCTCTGTGTGGACTCTTAGGCTGTGTCCAGATGAATGAGCACATGTCTGTTGTGGCATCTCAAAGCAGTTTGAGGTGCCACAGGAGGCACTCCAGGAATGAAAAACTGTTCTGTTTGCAGCGCAGACTCGTAAGTTTGATACCGGGAAATCCGATAGCAAAAGAAAACGCAACAAAAAAGTGGCACAGGCTGGCATAGAGACACCTGTATAGAGATGCCTGATGGCAGAAAAAAGCAGCATATGCGGCAGGTGTAGAGACTCTTTGACCGGGTGTTAGAATGTCTCTTTGGAGGACCCAGCCTGTAGTTGCTTTGGAGCATGCTCCTGCATGCATCTCTATGCCTGCTGCTCCAGCACGCTGTCTCAGTATGCTGAAGGAAATTGAAGTAGGGCAAGGCTGGCAGCAGTGGCGTGGACATAGGCAAGCAGAGACATGAGGGGACGGGACAGGACAACTGTGTATGGGGGTGGGTCTCCTGGTTGCCTGCTCACCCTGCAGCAGCAGCCAGCAGTGGGCCCTTGTGTTTTTGGTCATGGCCTGCTGCAGGCATAGTCTCCCCAGCAGTGGCTTGCTCCCCCACAAACCACCCCCCACCCCTACCCACATACCCACCCATGAAACCCCCACTGTCTACCCACAAACCCCACACTCGCATCCTCCCCGCATCTCCCTCTACAAATCTCACACCCTGCATGTCTAGCCACCAGCTGGGACAGGACCTGTTGGTGGGAGCCACAGTTGCAGGGGCAACTGCTGCACTGCAGCCCTGACCCATGTCCCAGCACTGGTGTGGTTATGTGGTCCCAGCTTGGGGGGGGCTCCTGGTCCTGGGAACCACTTGGGGAGGTGTGATGGGCCGGGGGGATTGAGGTGGCAGCAGGGTCTATGGGTATGTGTGATGGGCCAGGGGTGGCAGCAGGGGTTTGAGAGAGAAAGATGGAGGTAGGGGATCGGGGGGTGCTCTAGGTAGGAGAATCTGCCGGAGCCAGGCTTGGAGTGCCTTGCAGAGCAGCCTGTGTAGGGGGAAGCTGTCCTGGAAGGAAAGGTCATGAGCCTCAATCAAGGGCGTCCCGGGAAAGGCATGGAGATTGCTGGAGTCTGGGCACAGGGAGCAGAAGGGCCACAAAGCAGCAGGTGGAATAGCTACAGCTGGACCCATGTCCTGGTGCTGAGATGGAGCTGCTGTGGGGAGGGACTGAGTAGTAGGTAGGCATGGGCTGTGGGTTGGGAGTTGAGGGGCACTGATGGGGCTGTGGTTTGGGAGTGAGGGGCAAGGGCAGGGCACTGGCATATCAGTGCTGCTCAGTGCCACAAAGCAGCTGCAGGTCCAGCTGCAGCTTGTCCCCACATCCTGGTGAATGAATGGGGCAGGGGCAGCTCTGTTTTTTTTCTGTGATAAAAACCAAACATCAAAGTGTAAAGATATTTAGAATTTATTTCATTATGATGATAGAAGCATTGGTAGGCTTCCAAATTTGCTTTAAAATTGTAAATATATCAAACATTGCCCAACTGATTGATCAATGTATTTCTCTCTCTCAGAATAGTGGTGTTTCATTTTAATCACAGAAAAACACAGACTTCGGGTATTTTAATGAGAGAATTTGGTTTTTTGTTTTTTGTTTGTTTTGTTTTTGTTTTTTTTTGTCAGATAACTTGCAGTTTTTAAAAAGGGAATGCCAGGGACGCAGCTGGAGGGCAGATGAGGTGGCTGATCTCCTGGCCATTTGGGGCCAGGAGGACACACTTCAAAAGTTCAAAGATGGCCACCACAATGAGCACATCTTCTAGGCAGTAACTACCCAGATAATAGAGCGGGGCAACAGAATACATGACAGCAGTGCTGCCTAAAGGCCAGCTGTGCAGGCATGGCCCATTGGTAGCTGGCCCACAGGTGCAGGCAGCTTTGCAGTCCTTATACCACAGCCTAGGCAGCTGTGTGGTCTCTGTCTGGATCTGGCAGGCATGTCGCCATGGGGCTGCAGGTCCAAGGGGGCAGATGCTGTCGTAGGTGGCAGCAGGTCACAGCAAGGCAGCAACCCGCATTTCCAGATTGCTGTAGGGGGGCTGGGGTCACTCTGGGTTAGAGTTGCTTCAGCAGTCCAGCTGGCACAAGGGGGGCTAATGTCCCCAAATACCAACTAGCCAGGCCTCGGAAGCACTTGAGGGCAAGTATCCCTTTGCTGCTTGCCAGGGCAGCTTTTTATACTTCTGGGGCCAGCACAGGTGCTGGCTTCAGCCTCTAGCTTCCCCTGGCTGAAGATCCAGGAGGAGCTGGGCAGGGTCCATTTGCCCCACACCAAAGTGAATGTTCAGGCACGTGTGCTGAGGCACAAATTTGTGCCACTGCTACTTGAGCTGCTGCAAGCACACATGCCTGTATGTGTGGATGTGCCCTTGAAATGGTTGAAATTTATGAAGAAAGCATCCATCATGCATTATTTGGTAATATAGCAATGAGGGCACACTGCCTGTCAGTACTTTTGGAACCATGTAGTCGCGTTCATCCTCCATATGGACATTCTGCAGGAACTTTGGTCTATTGGAAACTTGGAATAGGTATGGAGAGGAAGAAAGAATTTTTCACTGTGTGTAGAGGGGGCGGGGAGGAGCAAGTGCTGTGGTGATTGAATATATTACAGGTGTTAGCGTTACCAGGTAAATAGCTAGGAAATTTGTCCACGGTTCTTTTCTTTCCATGTCATTTAGTTGTTAATAACTTCTTTCCCTGGGTCACACTTATAGGTTTCAAAGTTTTAATCTTGTTAAACATCTCTTTAGGTAGGCCCATGAAGGAAGAAGAGAGCGACTTGGGTACATCAATGTGGGCTAAGCAGCTAAATGAAGCTTCCAGGATTACTCCTCAGGTAAAAAACAAAACAAAACAAAAATTTTACACCCTTGTTACAGAAAAAAATATGCAGTTGTCAACTGAATGCTAGACCAGTAAAACTGGAAAAGGGATCTCCTTATTACATATCAGAATTACTGATTGATTATTATGGAGCTAGTAACTGATGCCCAGACATGGGATATATGTGCAGAAAAAGAACTCTAAAACTTTGAATGTACCTATGTACTAAAATGATGAAGTATGCACTTGAAATAGTAGAAATATCCACTTCAAAGTTCATTACACAGAAAATGAAAAATACCATGAAATGTAAATATAAAAATGTTCACTTTGGTACTCATCCATGTAAACTAGAAAATATTTCATTCAAAATATTTGGGTACATGTTAGGATATGCCTATTATTATGTCCTTTTACTTACCTGCACAATAATTTGATTCACCATATGTAACTAGTATTTCTCTCAGGTTTTCCTATGTTAATCTATGGTGCTTCTCAGTTGAGATGAGTTTGTGCACTGGGAAATCTCTTAATGCCCACAGATGTTACAAGGCAAAACTTGGAAACAGGAGCTAGTATAGCTGGTACTTATTCTGGTAATTCCAGACCAGTATCATCCAGCTAACAGTGCTTCATGTTCAGGGGTGGTTCTTCAAAAGTCTTTGCAGTTGTCTTACTTGCTGGCTGGGGTCATGTGGAGCAAAGGTGAGATGTTCTTCAACTTATTTGATTTGGTCAAAGTAATTATGTATTGAAAAATGCCACATCTCAAGCTCCTTGCTTCACCTCTGATAGAGCAGGAGAATTTGACTTTGTCATTGCAAGCCATTTGTATCACTGAAGGAGGGTGCTCCACCACCATCAGAACAGCTGCTATTTTGCCTGTCTTTGAAATACTGAGCATAAATTAGGTGTGCAGTTAGCCAAGTTCCTCATAGGTTCTGGTGTTAGGGGCATGCAAGACCATAAAAACTGTCATGCTGGGTCAAACCAATCACGCAAGCAGAATGTCTTCGTAGTGGTACTTTTACAAACAGTTTTCAACCTTAATGGTAAGAATTGACAAATGGAAATTTGAAGTCTGATTTTGTTTAGCAGCCTGAGTGAGACCATGCGCCAAACAGGTAAAATGTATTAGGTGTGGACAGAATGCCTGCAGTGCTGTTGCTGCTTTCAGCATATAGACTGCAGCATATGTAATCAGAAGATGTGGTTTCTTTTTCCTGCTGGCTGTAGAGTTAGGCTGAAGTAAATGTATAGTGTCATTCATAAAAAGATGCTAGTCGCATGATTTGTCTTCTCCAATACTCTTTTGAAGTCAAAATGTGAGGTTTTCCAGGCCCAACAGTGAGTTTTTCTAAGCATCAAGCTGGCAACATAACCAGAACGGTCAACTGTAGTCTCATCTACAGTAATCCAAATGTGATTTTTTTTCCACTAGTATCATTTTAAATCTCCTCTAATATACAATTAAGGTATGTGAAGATATTTTTTTCTTTATCATAAAATCATAGAAGAAGGGCTGGAAGGAACGCTTCAGAGATCATGTAGTCCAACCCCCTGCCTGAGGCAAGATCATCCCCCTCCAAACCATCCTATAAAATCCATAATCTAAATTGTACATAAGACTAGTGTCAACCCTGGCACACAACGTAGACCTGATGCCTTAGCCTGCCACAGGTAAAACAGGGGAACCATGATAGTTGATTCATTTGGAACATACTGATTTTAAACAGTATTTTCCAAAAAACCCACAAAAAGATTGATTTAGTTCAGGGCTGTACAAATTGTCCACAGGCCCTATGTGGCCTGTAAGAGCCAGCATGCAGTCATCTATTGCACAGTCAGATGGGGTTGGGGGAGCAGGGTGGCTGTGTGCTGCCAGGAGGAATTCCAGGGGTCTGACCCCACAGCATATAGCTGGCGGCAAGGGTGTTGAAGAGCCTTAATCTAGTTCAAGGAATAACTGCATACTATGGTTTTACAGGGGGCAGCAGCAAAATCGCATCTCCCTCTGAACCATATAGTTGGTCCACTAAAAGATCACCAGAAAAGCCCTTGCTGCTTGTATAAAATATAGAAAGTGTTGGGATTATTATGTACATGGTAGAAGCAGGCATAATGAAGTGTGAAATTATATTTGTCTTTTGCAAACCCTGGAAAAAATATTTCCCTTTAAAATGCATAATTGCAGTAACATCATCATTATGCACTAACCACTCAAATAAGCATATATAGTTGCACTATAAAACATACATATTTGGAGCTGTATTGATCAAATAGTATTTTAGTCAAAGTTCTGATAGCCTGCATGCCAAGGAGAAGAATATGCCTATTGATGACTCATGTCTTTTTCCTTTGTTCCTGAATTTTTTCTGTTTCACTAGTCATCTCAGTTATATCTAAGTATATTTTAAAATTGTTACAGAGGCTTACAATATTATCCTTAAAAAAAAAAAAAAAAGTAGTTAATTTAGTGTTTGTGAAAGGTGCCAGAGACAGGCTGTACAGTCGCAGAGACTTGCAACGTAAAGTAATTTCTAGTTTTCCCTCATATTGCCCAGTTCAGCTTTGTGGAAGCGCTCCCTCATTCAGCTGCCTTGTCATCTGTACTCAGACTACCCACAGAGTTGCCAGTTGTGCCAGTAATGTTTGTGATGTGAACACTTGCCAACTGAGAACTGAACAGAGACTGCCAAAGTCATTTTGCATAGGCCACTTAATAGCCAGCATATGGGAACATCTTTGAGTTCTTAATCTGGGGTGGATTTAGGCCAGGGGCCTTGAGGGTAAAAGGTTTTAAATCTTATTCTCTGAGCTTTCCAGTATCTCCTGGCATCTTAAATACTGGGTATCATACCTCCTAAAGCTTATTTTGACTAGAAATGTTAGCAATACTTTAAATTGCAGACTACCCATAGTAGTTAATAGCTATGTTTTAATTGCATGCTCTTTTGGTGTTCTGCAGGAACATGGTAATTACATGGTATTTCTCAGTTTTGTTTTTTTTAGCTCCTGATTTAGAATTGGCTCTCTGTACTGCTGAATACTGAAGACAGTTTGCCAATTTAAATACTTAGTGGCTGTGATTTGCATCTTTTTTTATAGTTAGAAGCCATCAGTTAAACCAGGACTATTTTGTTCCCATATTTTCCCTTACATCAGCGTTTTGGCCTGCTGCAGCTTCTGCTGCTTCCCCACCTTCCAGCCTGGTTCAGGAACCACTCCCACCCTCTGCTTGGATGCGTGTAGCATTCGCTGCCTCTCCTCCCCAAAAGCAGAGCATGCATGCATGTACAAAGTCTCCTGGCTTTGCTAGCTGAACCAATGGTTCTAAGGGGCAGATCACTCTTGTCACTGCTGTTAGTGATGCTTCTTGTCACGACTGCTAGTGCAGATAATTAGTAGTGTTTGAGTGATGGTATAGACATGATGGTCCTGAAATGATGTAGAAAGTAAGGATTTCTAGTGACTTGAAGGAGAATTTCTTGCATTTGAAAGCTTGTATAGCTCCATCCCAATTATGCAGTTGGCCTTAAATTACAGGGGGAAATACATACTAAAAGAGGGCAGCATTCCTGGTGGACCTATATCTTCATTCAAAGATACTTAACTTGATCATTATTAGAGTAAAAAGAATTACAAGACAATTGCATCTAGTAATTATAAATTTTCATATGGGACTTCTCTCCCCCCCCCCCCTTGTCTGCTCCAGGATACAAGTAAAGCTCAGAAATATATTAAGAAGGAAAGTGCATCAGAAGCCAGTCACAAGGTTCAGGAAAATAAAAATTTTATGCACAGCAATGGCTTGAGCTTCCAGCATGGCAAATGTATGCGAGACTCCAGCCTGATTCAAGGGGAGTGCCGGCTGAGTGATGGCAGCCTCAGCCCTGACAGGCCATATGGTGAGACATCCATGTCTCTACCTCTTCACCCAACCAAGAGGCCAGCATCAAATCCACCCCCTATCAACAACCAAGCAACAAAAGGTAACCTTTGTCTCTATTGCCCTTTCCCCATAAAAAGCTTTATTTCCTCTTTTGATTCATGTATACATTTCAGAAAACTGACTTGAAGCAGAAGCTGCAAAAAAAGAACTGATAACAGACATTGAGTATCATCTTTCAGGCAGGCACTTTTTGCTGTACAGAAGGTATCGAGTAGGAGTTTAAAAAAAAAAAAAAAAAGGAAAAAAGAAGGATTTTAATGGGTCATGTATCCTGTTTGAGCTTTTAGAGGTTAGTAGCACAGTCAGTGTTACTAACCTCTAGATAAACATTTTGGAGGATACCTTTTTTGTATGTTTGTTTATTTTTTCCTTTCCCGTGTTTTTATGAGTTGAGATTTATGAAGTGCAAGACCTCAGAAGGTATTTTAATGGCCTTACTACTTGTATAATTTACTCAAGGACTACAAATACAAGAGAAGAATGTAATTTGGATAGTTCAGATTAATGCATCTTTCTGGCTTGCACTAGGAATATACAGTCAAAGCTGTATTTACTTATATTCCATGTGCTCCTAGATAAGATGTATGCTTTGTTTTGGGAAGGCAGAATCAACACATGACTTGGTAGCATCTTTTGGCTGCTCAGCCAAAAGCTACTGCTGTTTTGGCAGCAGCTGTGAGGGGGTTTAACTCCTAGCTGTAGAACTGTAGAGAGAAGGTAAATGATGCTGAGGAGTGGACTCCGTCCCTCCTTCACATGGCACAGTCCCCAGCAGCCATTTCCATGTTCCCATGCTGCCATTAAAACACGCACCTCGGTTTGGGAGGTGGAAAAGGTACATGGGATAAATAAAGTGAATACTGTATGCTTCAGGAAAATAACTGAATGTCATACAAATGTGTGCTTGTAGCATCCCAGACAAGCAGACAGATGAACTGCAATGCAAGAAAGTAATTAAGTTATAGATCTCACTGATGAACTATATTACACCTTGATTTCTCTCATCTTAACTTCTTTTTTAAGAAATGTAATCAGTAACACTAGTTTCAATATTTCAGGCAAGCGTCCAAAGAAAGGAATGGCAACTGCCAAACAGCGCCTTGGGAAGATCCTAAAGCTCAACCGAAATGGCCATGCACGCTTCTTTGTTTGATGTAGCTGCTACTACTACTACTGCTGTCTTTCCTACACAGACCAGTATTGAGGTCAACAGAGCCTGGAGCTGCTGCTGTTCCTCTGCCTGAAGCAAACTTGCATGTACCATGTAAAACACTGCCTGATGAACAAAAAATCCAATGCTGCATTTTCACTGTGCCACACCTGCTCAGCAATAACCATTTGGGAATGGGGAATCTTTAGAGAGACGATGGACTGGGAAGCAGTCTCTCATCAGGGCTTGAATATTGTTTTGTTGCTGATAGTGTCTGAGCTAATTCATGAGGGGAGGATTATGAAGGTGGTTTATCAATAATTTATTTGACAGTTCTTGACAACCTTTAAATTCATTTTTTAAAACTATTTATTTGGAAGACTTTTTGAGGGTTATTAATTTAGATTTCAGAATGTGAAGGTTTTAATTGTTCTTGATTTAATGTATGTTTGGTGCAGTGGAGAGCCACATTAATGGTGATTAGTCTGGACTCCCAAATTTGATATTCAGGTTATAGTCTTAAATAGGGATGTGATGCATTATTGATTATTTTAAATTAAGGCAAATGGAATTGTATTGTATTTTTTTTTCCTGGTCTTTAAGCTATTGGCTGGGCTTTTATTGACTTGTAAGGTGCATGTCTCTGCCAACTTAGTTAATTTGACCTGCTTTTCCTACTATCCATGATACTTCTCCATTTATTTTGGTGAACCAGCAAAGGTGCTTCTGTCTGCTAGGAGAACCCAGTTCAATAGCTGGCATGTCTTAAATTGCACCCCTTTCCCCAGTTCTTCCTGATTTTAGTGGGTTTTTTTGTCCCAGACAGGGTGGTGATGATGATTATTATTTTCCCTTTAAGAATAAAATAAGGAAATTCCCAGAAACTTTTATTTATACTTAGTTTAAATGTTGGTACCAAGAGCAGCTATATATTTTTTGTAGGGGAGGTGAGAGAGTGTGATGCAACTGGCTAAGTTTTTTGTTTCAGAAGAATTGTTTGGGTTGAAAAAATAACTCTTTAAATTGCAGAATTAAGATTTGGCAAATGACTTAACGTGGCACGGAGGGAGCACTACTGTTGGTGAGAACCAGCTGTGTGTTTAAAAATACGTTTTAATTGAGGGTCTAAGGAGGTAGGAGAATGTGCACTGCTTGTGAGGCTGCACAGGACAGCTAATTCAAGTCTTTAATGGTGCACATGTAAGTGTTGAGTTAAGTAGCATGCTGATCTCAGTATAACCATTTGTCATGCTTTACACAGCTGATAGAAAATGCCAAGTCTGAATTACATGTAAATAACTTTGATTTTAAATTTGTATTTTTCTGTAATATAAAATTTAAATTATTTAATTTTTTTTGTAGGTGGAGAGGGAAATTCCTTTACTTGATTCTGGGAAAAGGGCATTTTGCAGGGTCCAGCCAAAACTAAAGCTTAGATATGCTAGGAATACCCACTGGGATTTTGTCTGAGGGAGGACAAAGTTTGCTTTGGCTACCAGATCTTTTGAATGGTCTTAATTACACTTACTATTTTGCCCATCTACCTTTTTTTCTCTTGCTGTCTTTAAAAGCAAATTCAGTTAGATTTTTCAGAAATTTACCTGTAGTCTTATATTTCTGTATACATTCAGATTAGAATACAAATAATACCCTTAAAAATATATGGAAATATTTTTTATCAGGTTTTCCTGATTGAAAAGTGATAACTGTTTAGCACATTGTCATCCCATTTTTGAATTGTGAAATAACAAAATATAAGTTGGCTATGAATAGGTCAGATACCTGGTTTGAGTTCTTCCAGGATATGAAGATTATTACCTGATTCTCTTATCTCCTGCTCTGCTTTTAAATTACATTATCTTCATTTTATAATGGTTTGCGTGAAAACTAATTGACTTTTTTGTTGCTCTGTGGCCAACTAACACTTTAGATGAGTTCAAGCTTTCTTTGTCAGTCTGTAATTTGTTTCCTCATTATGCACTGGTAACTTTGTTCAGGTGCTGGGAGAAAAAGTAATGAGATGCTCACTGGTTATGAAGAAGCAGAAGACGGAAAGCAATTACTCTACTATTGACTGTAACTATTTGTTCTCAGGTGATGATGAATTTTCCAGTCAGCAGTGGTCAATAGAGAGTATATTTTAACCGTCTTCTGTTATATTTTCAAAGAAGCGTGTAAAGCTTAATTGATCTGTTTATACAGTCTCCAGGAAGCCAGTTCATATTAGCTGGGCTTTGAGCAACTGTTCCATTTTTAGCATGCCAAGGCAGACTGCTTTCCACTTATTGTCTGCCTACTTTTATTATACTTGCCTTTTACTTTACTTTACTTAAGTGCATGAGCTATACCGGACGCAGGTATTTCTGAGGAGACCTCAAGCAGAGCCGGAGAGGAATAGAGACTGATCTTTCCTTAAAGATGTAGGTGCTGAGAGCACTACCTTTGAGACAGAAATATGCCATTAGGGAATCTGGAGTTGAAGGATGTTTCGGATATAGAACGTAACTTTCTGCCGTCCCTAAGGCTTGGCTTTGGCAGATTTCCCAAACCCCCACCTCTTAATTATCAAAGTTTTACATAGTGGAAAAAGTATTTGGCTGGACCCATACATATTTAATACCTGTTTGTAGATTTTGTTGTTCCCTTTCCTTTCTCTCTTCCTCCTTTTCAACGTGGCTTTCCATTGTAGTGAGTATGCTAAACTCTCGTCAAAGGCTGTCAATAGGCCTAGGTTCATCTCCTTTTCCTTTGTTTCATGCTTCCAGCAGAAGTCTGTCTTAAGAGTTTTAGACTTTTTAGGTGTGGGGGAGGGAAGGGAAGGGGTGGGGATCTTAGGAATCCATTTAAAAGAAATTATCCTGATAGATGGTAACAAACAAGTCTCCTTTTGATAGCTTCATGAAGAGGATGTGGTGACCTCACTTTTTTGTGTCTTTGTGTATTGGTAAGTTTTTGTGTTCTTAAAGAAAACACTATTGCACCACATTGTTTGTAGATAGGCTGAACCTGGTGCTGTAGTTTTGGAAAGAGACCCCCCTCCCCCCTATATTTTTCCAGTATTTCACTTTTGGTGATCTGGGGGTGGGGGGAGGGGGCATTGATAGGGGGAGAGCACTGACGGGACAACTGGGACAGAATCTTCATATGAAAACTGTTTTCAAGGAGGATATTTTCAAAAAAATAACAAAGAATTTGGATTTTTTTTTAAATAACTACATTTAACTTTATCTCAACCTTTCTAATGAGAGAAAAATAATTATATGAAATACGTTGTAGTTCTACCCTTTTCTGTATTCCCAAGGTTTTGTAATTTAAAAAAAGAAAAATACGAGACTGGGAAACCACCTAGAAATTATATCGGACTTCCAGCAACTTTCCCTTTTCTCCCTTTACTATTCTTGCTAATAAACCCTGGCTACAAGGTAGCCTTTAATGACCTCTGAGGTAGTTTACCTATGCAACCTATAATATTCCACATGAAGTCATTCTTGAAGAAATCATTTAAAACAGTTGGACTTTCAGAATTAACAATTATTTTTTTTTAGATCAAAGGTGGGGTTTTTTTGTTTTTTTTTTTAAAGCTGAAATACTTGCATTAATTTTAAGAGAGCACAGTGTCATGGTCACCTTTTTAGAGAGCTTCAGCTTTCCCCCAGCTTTGTTCTATGGCATAGGCTGCCTTCATTCACCAGGACATTGTCATAAATGTTGAAACCTTTTTGTAGAAGTATAAATCTGGGGCTGAAATGATACTGGTGGCTGGTAAATGTGGGATCTGAGTAAAGCCAAGGCTAGAACTTACTGGGGAGGTAAAATCCCATAGCTGGTGCCCCTCCTAACCTTCCTGCCACCAGAAATCTGTGTCTTTTTAAAGCTCATTTCATAATACTTCCAGACCATTAAAAGCTGTTCATGGCCCTGGGTTTGAGTGAACCCAGAGCTGTTTTATTTTGCAGAAGTATAAATGGAACCAAGGACCTTACTGTTCGTGATTAAACTGGATTAAAAGCTGCAACATCCATTTATCCAGAAAAGGAAAAAAAGAAAAAACAGAAACCTACTTTTGGGTGCAAAATAAGTGCTGAGTCATGCAGTGGGTGGGAAATACAAGTAGCACTGATCAGGAAATGTGTATGCTTCTGCAGAAGCTCTATTTCCATTTTGAAAAGGACTTTTTCTACTTTTAATATAAATTAAGCCATAAGAGTTTCATGCTGTGGGAAGGGAGTGAAAGGGATCACTTTAAGAGACTATATTAATATGTATTATCACTTCTGCTGGGAAATGTCTAACTTTGCCATGCTTTGCAGATATTTCTTTTTTTTTAAAAAAATCCATGAAATTTGAAAAATGGGGATAGTTCTTGGCTATATTTACTAATTTTATAGTGATGTTTTGCTGGCCCATTTTGTCTTTTTCCCTCTCCCTTTTCTACTGTCATAATCTAATTTCTATCCTTTTTTGAATGTCCGTGGAAAATATTAGCTTGTCTGTCTGAATAGAGGTTTGTGTGTGTGTCTTCCTTTTTACAGAAACGCACTACTGTGTTGAATATTTGGCTGGGAAATGGGATGCTGCAGCTTTAAGAGCATTTTTTTTCAATTCATAACAGTATTTCCCATCCTCTTTTGCCTGCAGGCAGGGAAAATGTATGTACAGTATTTATTTTGTTTCAATTTTACTTTAAATTTGTAAGTTTCTATAAGTAGCTCACATTGATTATTCTAGGGGAGGGCAAGTGGCTTGTTTAAATTTGTATTTGATATTCATAGTTTCCACTTTCTGTACTTTAAATATTGAAATTAAAAAGTTGTATTACATATGTTTTGATTTTAGCACTCTAAAGTGTTCAATTTCTTCAGGTTTTGCTTATTTGCTGAAGTGTAAATATAGAAAGCTGTACAGGATGTCTTATGAGGAAAAATGCTTAATTCTGTTTCTAGTTCTGATTTCTGTGCCCTTTATTTGACTTTTTGATTTTGGTGAAAACTTGCTCAAGAACAGTGGGAAGAACAACACATTTTGGTACTATACTGAAGTGTAGGCTTGACTTCCAGTGAAGCATCCCTAGTTTTCCATCAACTTGATAAACTGGGAGAAATGCATCTCATTTGGAAGGGAATTACTTCCCTTTCCACCCTACTGTTCCCATTCTCGTTTTACCTATTATATTTTTGTCAAATTTGCTTCAGTGTTTTAATGACAGAGAGCTACTCGCAGAAAAGTCAATCTGTGATGGACAAGGTTCTGTTTCACATCCTCTCCTTTTCTCCATTACCCATTTGGTTTCATTTCTCTGGATCAGAGGCTGTCTCTCCACTAATCCTCCCTGCAATTTGTCATCTTTCAATTTGCAGTTACTACTGGGCCCCATCTTGACTGTGACATTAAAGCGCCTCTGCCCGCAGCTTGGAAGAGGAAGTACTATTGTGTTGCATTTAAATTTATTGTAATGTTTTCTCCTCTTCTGCAGATAGTGCTGAGTGCTGATGAATTGCTTCAGGCCTGTTTGGGGGAGGTATACAGCCACTGGTGATGGGCATGGTACTGTATCAGAATCTTTGGTAGATAGCCTAGCATTGTGGTCAGAAGACCAGATTGGAAAAAGATGTTTCTGACTAGAACAGGAGCATGTGAGAAGCAGGATTTGTTTGGTAATAACTTTTTATTGGACAATATTTCAGTTGGGAGAAACAAGCTTTTGGGCACAAGAATGCCTTCTGATATTTTTTGGGGTATCCTGGGTATTTTTACACATGCTTTGGGCGGTATGGGGGTGGTGCTTTAATTAGGAAACTATGCCAATTAAAAGTGCCTGAGTGTTAAGTGTATCAGTGTCCCCCATACTGAGAAATAGCAGTGGGGTGCTCTGAACTAAAGCTCATTGAACGAACATTAACTCTAAGTGCCCTGATGCTTGTGATGTGAAAGGCTGCTGTAGCATAGTAATTTCTGTAATTAATTGAGTCTGCTCTGACGCATTGGATTTCCAGCGCATCGGCACTGGCTCCCTGCACCCCTTGTGCCTGAGAGTCTGCTTAATATTTCTCTCAACTAGAAAGCTGGTCCAATAAAAGATGTTGCCAAATTCATCTTGCTTCATGAGTATCTTGTTTAGCTGCTTGAATTCTACTGTTCTGAGTTCACTGAGAGAAACTTGTTATGGGTGTGAATTAGGATCCCAGTGTGCTAGGTACTGAACGTACACAGAACAAAGGCACTTTGTCTGGCCCAGACAGTTTAGTCTCATCCTAAAACAGCAATCCAAGTATAAAGCCGAAAAGGTTCAAAGGTAAACTAACAAGCCCTTTGGTCCATATGTTTTGTGTGCCCACCTGACTTCATGGAGCCTCTCCCTAGCGTCTCTGGAGCATGCGTTAGGGGTCTGTCACGAGGACGGCTCCTGTTGTCATGATGCAGGGTTGCATTCTCCGCGGGGGATACCCCAGGACTCGCCTGCCATTTCTTGGGTGTTATGTTCAGCAGAAGGGCCATGTGGAACGCACCGTGCCTTGCCACTAGCCGTCATTGCTGGGGCTCCACCTCCCCTACACCCCAGCCATGTGCCAGCCTACTGGGACTGCTGAACAATTCATAGTTTCATAGATATAGGGTTGGAAGGGACCTAGTAGATCTTCTAGCCCGACCCCCCCGCCAGGGCAGGAGAACAACAAAACCCCAAAACAAAAATGGGACTCAAATGAGTCTAGCCAGGTAGGCATCCAGCCTCTTCTTAAAGACCCCCAGGGTAGGGGCCAGCACCACTTCCCTTGGAAGTTGGTTCCAGCTCCTAGCCGCCCTAACTGTGAAGTAGTTCTTGTGGATGTCCAATCTATACCTCCTCTCCATCAACTTGTGCCCATTACTCCTTGTTATGCTAGCGGGCGCTAGGGGAAACAGCGTCTCCCC